CCTACTGGAGGCGCCACCAAGCGGGATGCTGATTTTCATTTTCTTAACTTTTGGAGCTATGATTTGAGGAGCTGAAATAGAGTTGAAATTGATTAAGTCTTAAGAGAAGAGGTTATAGAATTATACTTATAGAGAGAGCGACGAAGGCCTTAGTCGAACAAAATTCTGTTGTAGAAATGGATAAGATAAAAAATATTTAGGTGTATTTAAACTCATTACTCAAATATTTTGTAAAATAATTTATACATCTTTATTTTTACTAACATTTAGTAATAGGGCATAAATCAAGGTATTCAAGATTTTTTTTTGCTATTGAACAGTCAGAACTTAAAAGTGTGTAAAAGTGGCAATCTGGTACAGAACACCATATGCTAAAACATTACGGATGAAGTAAAGACTTCATAATTTTTATTTAAATAAATGAATTCTCTTGATATTAAATTTAATTTAACTTACTATTATATATAGTATTTAATTATCATAAAAAGCTTTACATTGATAGTTTTCATTGATTGCTCATAGACTTTTATCATAACAGATTTTCACCATAAACATACTTTGGGCATACCCATTGATTCATTTTTTATACAGTTCAAGATTAAAGCATCATTTAGTATTCCATTCAATTTATTCGAAAGTTTGCTTCTTAGAAGTTTTAATGAGTATCGTAAAATAGTTTAAGAAAAGAAATGATATTTTTTCTTTTTCTCAGTATTTTAAAACACTTTTTGTAACAGTCTACGGTTTTATAATATCCTGCTAGTCACTTTTAAGGAGAGGAATACAAGACTATGGAAATATTAAAAAGCCCCCAGGAGAAATTTTCGAAAGAATTATTTTATTTTTATGTAGTGTGGGATAAAAAAATACAATAGCAAAGTTGGAAATAAATAAAATTTTTTTTATATCGGTACAGAAAAGATTGAAAGCGACATAACTTTGTGTGATTTTTCCATGTCAAAATCTGAATAGTTGATCTGACAGTTGAATTATTCGACAGATATTTATCCAAGCTGATCAAATAGAGTTATTTTACAAGTGACACTCGATTTCGTTTGTTCTTCATTCCACCGAAGTGAAAAAGTGTCTAACTAAAAATAAACAGTTCGTAAAATTTACTGTTTTAATTTGTGATAATATTATAAATATATTTTTATATGAATTTGACATCAATCACGTGAAAAAATAGAATTTAATCGATAATATTACCGATGGAACGTGTTTCAAATATTTGCTCGGCTGCATTTTAGCATCAAAGGAATATCTGCCATATAAATCGATCAGCCTGTTTGGCAAGTACGTCAAAAAAATACCAATGCCATATTTCACCCTAGCCTTTAAATACCAATAATTTTTCATACTACAAAGTGCAGTTTACACAAGCGTTTAATGTTGACAGGATTTATCAGAACATCTTCCACGTTCGCTCGACAACAACAACGACCAAAAAAACGATGTCGTTTTATCGTCCATGTTAATATTAATCCGTCGCGACATACAGTAGTGTCATTTTTCAAAGAGTTAACATTCAAAAATGTAAAACTGCTGTATCCACCGAGCGATGCATTCCAGCACAACGAAGATGGATGATATGCGAATAATTATACGAGTTGTTTTGTTCACGCACGCGTATGCAGTTTTAAAAATTTCGTTTTCACCGAAATGACGAAAATGTTTTTTGCCTGCATTACTCACACGTGTGTTTGCAAGCCACAAAGTAAAAATATTTAAATTAAATAATGAAATTCACATTTACGGAAGTAATTTAATGATGCACATGGTATACTAGTACGAAATAAAAAACTAATTTGAAATCTTTCTGCACAAAAATGAAAGAGAAAATTGCTGAAAATGAATAATCTTGCTACTTTCCATATTTAACGATAAATACACTGAGAATATTTAAATAATCAATGTGATGTTTCCCTATTTTCAGGCTTAAATATTTGAATTTGAAATATGCTCATAAAACCATAGCCATTAAACGACTTGTTTGGTTCCTCAGCATAAGAAACATGATACTGTATAACTCCAAAAGCATGAGAACGTAATATTACGAACCACTCAGCATGAATATGCGCGTGTACTTATGCTCTGTATTTACGTTTCTGCATATTTATACAAGGTTAATGATACTGTATAGTAATATGGAGTATTCAACATCTTTTCTGATACATAACTTTTTAGGCTTGATTATTTTCATTTGTATATGAACTTTCAAATGTATCTACAAAGTTTTTACAATAATGTATTCAATTATAGAATTAATGAAACATTGTGTATTGCAGAAGGTTTCACTTTTATATTCAAAGCTATATTAAATATGAATGGTAGTTTGATTAATAATACATATACCAATATTAAAATTAGCATGTTAATTTCATTCATGAGATGTTATATTAATATTATATATTGTGGCAAATGAATTATTCTTCGTAAAGATTAAATAAAGTCAAAACAAACATAAATTGAATAAAAAAATATAATGTACATTCATTACTACAATTTGCAATAAATTAGCAAAAATAATCGACGCAATCGCGAAATATTGAAATGAAAATGTTCTCTTACTTTCAATAATCGTTACGAAGTAATATAATTTTTCCTCATGAAAAAGTCTCATTTCAACAGGCATTTTAGTATTCTGGAAAAGGGATCAAATAACGACAAAAAAGAAAAAGAAGCAAAGGGAGTGAGAGAGTAGTTGAGTGAACGTGAATAGGGATGATGCGAGGTAAACTACCCACGAGGGGTTAATACACATGTTAATTTTTGTGTCGTAGCTATCCACAGGCTCGATATTACATGCACACTCATATATACGTATGTGCTTTCGAACAAAAGCGCGAACATGAACGAGCATGGGGACACACAATTTTTAATAATGCATCGCCAGTTCCATTCCATGAAAATTCAAAACGCCGTTATCCCCCGAAGCCATATATGAGAGCACAGCGAAATATTCGGAAAGCGCCCGAGCGTCCGATGACGAGAACAAAAAGTCGTTTGCAATGAAAACTTTTCTTTTTTTTCTATCTTCTACTCTAGTTTTATACTTCCATTCTCTCTCTCTCTCTCTCTCTCTCTCTCTCTCTCTCTCTCTCTCTCTCTCTCTCTCTCTTTCTCTCCGTCTCTCACTGCCGAGTTCCCTTGTTTAACCTTTGATCTCTCTTAATGTGTTTCGTTGACATGAATGAGTACTTGTTTTGAAAGTTGAGTCACTTATTTTATGTAATTGAACTACGTTTTATGTTGCTACTGTATCTCAATGAATTTGGAAGAGAAAAATGATATACTATCCCACAAACAATTACTGTGACTTGAAAAATAACATTCAATATTTCTATTAGAAGGGCAATACAATTGTTGCATTCGTTTTGATTTTATTAAGAAATGTCTGTTTAAAGTGCCATATATATCTGCTTTATTTTACTATGAATTAAATGTAATGAATTAAATGTACAAAATACTGGTAAAATATAATAATTCTTCACAAATGTTCACTAATACAATCATAAGTTTTCTTTCAACATAGGTTTTACTAAAGTAGTGATTACCAAATTTATTTTTGGGCGTTTGAACAGTGTCTTTTTATAAAGAAAGATACTTTGTTTATGTCTACATTCAAGTTGAAATCAAAAGTGATAATAAAGTTTATATTAAAAAAAAGCTAGAGCTATTTTAATTTTATAAGTTACAATATCATAAGCAATGAAATTTCTAAGGTACATTTATCCTCAAACTTATGATTAGCACATAAATTACTTCGAGACATGATTGTGTGACAATTTTCAGTAAAAACATGCTTTGATATATGTCATATCACTGATTTTTTTTATTAAACATAATTTCGTAAATATTTCCTATGCTAATTATTGGAACGCAGTTAGGTTTTATTATACTATCCAAAACATACTGAATTGTAAATGTAAAACGGAATGAACATTTGGACTGAAATAGGAGATTATAATATTTCATACGGATTTTATTTCGCTATTATAATGAAATAGTAGGTCTCATCAATCCATCCATACCAAAAATTGATTATTCTATGCATTTGTAGCAATCATAAGAGTGTTACATTAAATATAATAAGACATACTATTATCTTACACATGCAAATATTAGCACGTTCAAACCCCCAACCCATCGATATCCATAGATATACAGCCAATGGAGAAATTTGTCTCGAGTTCCCTCCAATCGTTTGCCTAAAATATAAATCAAAGGTACTCCAAAAAAATATTATCGATAAATATTCATACTTATATTGCGATTAATCAATTTTTGGAATATTTTGAGCTGTGATTTCTTCATAAAAAAATAAAATAAACCGACGATATTCCTCAAGTCAGGTTGGTTAGATTGACAGTAACATTTTGTTTTTCATTGTGAATGTAAACATAAATGAAAGCTGGAAGTCATGGTTGACTTTTTAATTTTTTTCTGCAGAAACCACTGTTCAAAACAATCCAAGATTAATTAGTCGCATTCTATGAATATTTATCGTAGATAATTTTTTTCGACCACTTTTCGTTTATATTTTAGGCAAACGATTGAAGGAAAGTCGCAACGAAATTTCTCCATTAACTGTATATCTGTGAATATCAATGGGCAGTCTTAACAAATAATTTTTTTCGAACGTATGTCGCAAACTTATCGTCAATTAGTAGACTCAACTGGTAAGTAAAAAATAATCAATGTAAAAAAATAAAAATCGTTTCGAAAATTAAGAAAAGTATGAAAAGAAAATAAAAGATCGTAAAAGCTACACGGATTTTCAATGGGATGCACCAGCAGCGTCATCTCTCGCAAGTCTGAGCAATCCTCACATCGTCGTCCACTGGAGGGCGGGCGACGGGTGGTTTTTTCACGCGGCTGCGCTCTTAGCGCCGGCGCACCAACACGTTCTCTCTCTCTCTCACCCCTCTTATTTCAGCGAGGCGGCGGCGGCGACGGCGGCGACGGCGGCTTGGCACGAGCAGTAGGGAAGAGCAACCCCCGCGGTACGCGCGCGCGCGAGACACCAGACGAGTCTCGACTCTTGGCTCGGCCGGACGTGACGTAATATAACCGTTTTTCTCTCTTTTTCTCTTTCTCTTTCTCTCTCTCCCACCGTCTCGTGGCTACGTCGTGTGAGCGATAATGTTAACCCTCTGCTACCATCGCCGTGAACGTTGTTTGTTTTAATAAAAAATAAATTAAGAGAAAAAAACATCGCTTTGCGGTGAATTTTTTTTTTTAATTTTGAAAAAGAAATAAAAAAAATTCAGAGAGAACATAAACTGACAGATTCGTTCGGCGAAAGTGAGCGAGACGCGGGCACGCGAGACATCAGTGTGAAGTTATTTTTTTTTGGTTGAGGGTTGTGAGTGAGTTGTTTCTTTTTTCAATCATCCTGGATATATATACATATATCTCTTTAACGAGGGGGATCAATTGAAAGATATAGACACAGAGCAAAGAGTCGTGTGGTGTAGCGCGCAGGACGGCCCAAAGATGCTGACCATGTCGACGCTGATGATGCCGACAACTATGACTACCATGACTAATCCTGGACCTATACCGGCTCATAGCGTGCCGCAGCAGAAACTCGAACCACCGAAATTACAACCGACGCCACAAATTGCTCATCAAACCAATCAGAATGTTAATGTTAATAAATCAGGTGAGTTTATCGTATCTCATTTTTTCATATAATTCGTGGTGATTGCGTAGAGGCTTTTTATAACTTGATTACGAAAATACGTGAAATAAGTATACAGGTTAATGTTTTCTCTCCAAATGACATACTGATGAAGGTCAATGTTAAAGTTTAGTCATGTATAGCGTTCTAAATTGAAACAATAGTTTTGATATAAGAGAAACAAACACCGAAAATATTACAGCTACAGAGGAAAGGATAGTTAATTTCAAATGAAATAGTTTTTTAAATTAATTAGTCGATGGAAACCACATTTCAGATCAAGTGTCTGTAATTAATTTTTATCAAGAAAAAACTTAATCGCACCGCGATTAGCAGTGATAAAAACTGAAATCGATCAAATCAACAGTCTTTTATATTATAAATGCAAGTTGATGTATGTATAACCACCTTTACCTATCGAGATGGCCTTATTCTAGTTTTTGCACAAATACTATTTAACTATAAAAGTTAACATACTTTCATAACGAAGCCATTTCCCATCAACTATTTCCAAAATAAATTGAAGCTTTTAAATAGAATTAATAATTGAAATTTGTTGAAAAATTTATGCAAAATAAATAAGTCTAGAAAAATACCACATTAAAACAAAAAAAAAATTTTCAACTTATTCATTAGTAGAACTTTTAAATAAAATAATTATTGTATTTAAGTTATGACAATTGCGGAGAAAATTTTTGTTGATAATACGTTCAAGATTTTTTCGAAATATAAAACGTAACTTTTCGTCGATAATGTGATAAACGTGTCAAACGTAATACAAAAACTGTGTTTTCATGTTCGGCAGTAAAAAAAGATAATTCTACTGCAATATAAAATTTAATCAATAGTGAAAGAAAAGTGCAATTTGAGCTTTCGTTCACCAGTAAGAAAAAAAAAAGAAAAGTTCGAAGATCGTGGAGTAACCCGCTTGAAAATAAAAGGCAAAGCAGATGCCAGAGCATTTTCTGCTTTTATAACGAAATAACACGGCGCGGGGTGTAACATTGTTCCTGAATCAGACTGTATGGCCAATACATCCTTAACCCTTGTAGCTCCGGGAAGAGTGCGCGCGAGCGCGAAGCCTGCGTTGCGCCGCGGGCGATTTATGGCTCTTTGCTCGGCTTACTTGTACACTAACCCTTCTCTCTCTCTCTCTCCCTCTCCTTCGTCCCTCTCTCTCTCTCTCTCACTTGCTCTGTGCTTCCATTTCTGCCGGGAGTCCAGACTAACGAACGATTGACGCGCAGCCGTGCACCGTGGATTTTCCGCTTGCCGTCGTTTTTGCTGTATTTAGGGGAGCAAGAGCGAGAGACTTTTTGTTCCAGGAAAATAGCAAATATCGGATACAGCTCAACGTTCCAAAGAGTTTTTCTTTTTTTTCCTTTGTCTCCCTTTCTCTCTAGTCGAGGATTGTCGGCTCGAAGATTTTATGGAAGGGCGGTGTGATTACAGAATTTATCCCGTTTCTTATTTCGTAAATGTACGTTAAGTAATGTAAAATACTCTGTATTTTTCTATTTAACTAAAAATTTGAAATATTTATGAATCAAGCCGAACTGTCTAGGAGTTAAAAAAAATCTCATTTCAAGGAAATAAACTTATCAATTTCATGGAATATTTATCCGTAAAAGCATTAATTAATCAGTTTTAAAAAAAGGAATTATCAGATTACTCTTCACACACATTTATAGAAAATCACGCTTTCTAAATCATATAAAAGCAGAAAAAACTTCATTATTAACATATATATTTGTAAAAAAGGAAAGACTAATAAAAGTAGAAGCAAACATAGACGAGCCAAAAAATAAATTGTTAGTTAACCCAAACCAAAGACATGGTTATATTTTTTAGTAAAAAAAAGAAAGTTAAGAAGCTAAAATGATGTAATATTAAATGCTTAGTAAGAAAAGTTGTCGAAAGAATAAGAACAATACGTGTTAACAGCATAAAAGAGACAAGTTTCTTATTTTGCTTCTCCCTTCTAGTACATTGTTTTCTACTTTTTCCTTTCTTGCTTTTCGTCAACCACGATTTGTGGAAATTTTACGAGCCAAGCAAAAGTTTTGTACGAGAACATCGGGTCGAATGCATGTCAGTAGGTCGATTCGCCGCTTTTGATAGACTTCGTATTTTTCAAGATTATATAGCTTCTTTTCTTGGATTTGAAAACACTAGCGATTTTTTTTCTACTATTGCCGAAGAAAACCGTTGATTATCACATATGAGAATAGAAAATATTAATCTTTCGTAAAAGCGATAATTTGTGGGAAAATAAGCAAGTAATTGGAACAGATACATCTAAGACTGTTCGGCAAGAAGTTAAAAAATTATAAACTAGAGAAACATTAACGAACACAATGTAACTGTTACGAATAAGATTAACAGTAACAGTAGTTGTAGAAAGTAAAGATTATAATATATAAAACTTCTTACACCTACACACGCGCGTTTTTAGGGCTTGTGTATAAGAACGAATATGTGCGTGTGTGAGAACTGAGTCGCAGAGTCGAGTAATCCGGTTTCATCAACGCTCCCGACGACGTCGGACTCCAGGCCAATTGACCCCTCGATCTTTCGAGTCGTTCGTTGCATAATGGACGCGCGACGTCTGTCAACGTCAAGCTCGAACCCTCGAATTCTATTGGAATTGCCTCTGTTGGTGTGGCTGGGATTTAGTGAGATTGGATGACTCTATTAGCTTGGGAGCTTTTTTTCCTACTCGACATTTTATTGGAGATTTGTTCGAATATTTGTTCTTAATATGAAAATTGTCTGATTTACCAAACGTGGATTTCAGAACTGAGTTATACTTGTAATGTATTTGACAACAATTGTTCCGCATACCTAATAGAAAGCATTTATTTATGAAATAACGATGTCAAATAATTATCTCTACACTGTTAGAGGCACTAGGTAGATATTAGATTTGATATGTCTATTTTCGATAAGGCCTTAATCGGGGTTTAATCCTATCATTCACTAAAGTGAACGAACCTATCGTTAATATTTCAGGAATTTTATTACAAAAAAGGCTTAAATATTTCTATAAGAGTCAAATATATAGGTATATATGCTCAAAAAGGATAAGCTGTTCATCGAAGCGAATTTCAGCGCCATAGATCAAAAGCAAAGAACTGCGTTTTTTCTTTTTATATAGAAAAGCTTAAAAGTACTCGAACTTTGCTTGACATACTTGTTGGTCTATTTCTATATGAAATTGTCTTTCCAATTAGAAACATATTACAAATAAAATGCATAAACCAGTTAATCTTATTTAAAAAGCCATTGAGATTTCAGCTTTTGAAAAGCGTAATATTTCATTCAGAAACGCGCAGCAAACGAAACTATTACGTCTCCATCAGCCAGAGCGTATTTTAATTGGCGGCAATATATTTCCACTGAATTATTGCGTGTCACGACGAGATTAGATTCGTCGTTATTCGGACGTAGCACATGCACACAGAGTGAGAAAGAGAGGGGGAGAAAGAGAGAAATTGGGAATTTAAAAAGTCAGAGCTCGCGCTTCATATTTTACATTAACGGGGGATAGCGAGATTACACGATTTGAAAATAACCATAAATCGCAACAGAGCTTCGGTTACTATCGGACGTAAAAATCGTAAGCGGCTAATCGTTTGATTTAGGTGCGTGTGTGTGTGTATGTGTGTGTATTTGTGTATGCGAGTTTGCGACTATATCTGATTTAATGTGAATTCAATGGGAACAAATTTTTATACAGCATACATCGATTATATCTATGCTATTACGCTAGTCATACTAACTAATTTATTATAGCAAGCTTTTTCGAAAATCGTAATAGAAGAATATTCGTATTTGGATGATTGATATTTAATTAATTAACGATGGAGATACGATATTATTAAATAACTTCAAAAAACATAAACCAATTTCCAGAAATCTCTCGAAAATAAGCATGCATAACAAAGATTCTCGTTTATTAGATAAATTTGTTCAATACCTGCATTGCTTGCAGATGCGCACGTATAACAACTTGCGCGTACAGTACAGAATAAAAAGAAAAATCAGCGCAGTGAAAAATAGAGCGACATACGATTAAAATCACAAAAGCTTGCACAGACAACACGAAGAGGAAGATTTCTCGGGGATTCTGTGTGCGAATAGAATGCAAGGAGAGAGCGAGAGAGAGAGAGGGAGAGAGAGAGAGAGAGAGAGAGAGAGAGAGAGAGAGAGAGAGAGAGAAATACGTGCCTTGGAGTACAGTAGTAGGAGACCAGTAGCGGGGAATATTTGGGAATGTTATTAACTCAGCTCGCGTATACGCGGCCGCTTCATAATTCACGCGCTCGCTTCGCGAGTTTCTCGGTTAGCAATAACCTCCCCCTTTACTCACACCTCTCTTCCTCCTGCCCCGCAAGCACTCGAGTCTCGAGTGCCTAGTCGTCACGTCAAAAGGGTAACAAGTCCCTCGCGCCACTTTGTTAGGCCGTCGATGAACCTGTTACGCTACTGCTGCTGGTGCTGCTGCTGCAACTGCTTCGTTATTCTGAGCTTTCGGCTAATTGCACCTCGTAAGATGCCCGAGTGCATAGAGCACCCTAACGCCGCACACACCTTGCGATATTGTCGTATATAATTTCCATTTTGTTCTTTTGATAGAGAAACAAATATGATTGGTTTCTTATCATCGATTAAAAAAGCTTCTGTTTTTGCCGAGGTGTTTGTCTTTTACGTTTTTTTTTTGGAAACCATTCTTCGTCATCATTATTTTATTCTAGATTATCTGTCGGCTATTTTGGTTACAAAGTAGTGATATTTTAATAGCGAACCACTTACTTTAGAATAAGTTACTGAATCTTTCAAACTTTCTCATAAAGCTTTGAATATTTTAAAAGAATTAAGCTCAAAATACTATTATTAATTTAACATGACGAATTTCACAAAAAATCTAATTCAATCACATTCAATACTGTGAGAAACATAAATAAGTAGTTGAATCAAAA